TGAAGATCAGAGGTCTAGGTGGTATGAAGTTTAATGGATTTTAACTGGAAACAGGGGTGGACTGACCATTTGGAAACTCAGGCACTGCCTGGGGTCAGTAGGGGGCCCCATGAGATGCCCCATGTAACTTTTTTCATAGGCTTTTTTGAGTTTGGGCAAGGACACAGAGGGCCCCATGATCCCCTATTGCCCAGGGGCCCCATAAGTTAGTAAGCCCCTGACTGGAACAGTCAGTATTGATGCAGCAAAAATCTGGTTGTGGTGAAAAGACTTGTGGAAATGTGCCAAGTAAGCTGCTTCTGGTTTCAATCAAAGCTAAAATTCTCTTGCCTGGAAGAATTTTAAAGCAGGGGTCTCCAAACTTTCTAAACAAAGGGCCAGTTTCCTGTCCTTCAGAATTTAGGGGGCCAAGATATGGTCAGTAGGAGTAGAAAAGGTCCTGACATCAATGGGGGGAAAAACATGTCCACCTTTTGGTATCATTGAGAGGCATTGTGTCCCTTCATTGGTGTCATTGGGTGGGCAGCTGTACCCCATTGTTCATATCAATGGCTGAAATGGTGCCAAAAGGGTTGGATAAAGGCAAGCAAAGGGCCACATCTGGCTCCAGGGCTGCAATTTGGAGACCACCATTTTAGTATTGAACACTAAAAATCTATTCTCTGTATTCAGTCGTAGTCTAATAAATATCAAATGAAAGGACCATACCCTATCCCAACTGCTCCATCCAGGATTCAAAAGTTCAAGATTGGTGCTCTAGCTGGGATGTTCTTTCCCTGATGTAATCCATAAGAAAGCCAGCCACTCAGTATACTCTCTGATACAAATCTCTACTGGTGTAGCACTACCCCCTTAGGGGTCACTAAAGAATTGGTTCCCCTATAGTCCTGCACAGCCAGTTAGCACACACTTTCCATACAAACTTGCTTCAGGGGACAGAAGACCAGTCCTTGGGCTTTGTTTTGAAATTTTATTGGATGTAGAACTGGGATGGGGTAAGGGGTGTATGGAATGCCCAAAGGTAATGGTAACCTAGGACAAAACTTCCTGAACTATATTACACATCTTTACCTAGAAATCCTCTTCTAGGAGAGCTCTTCTGGTGTACCACTCCAGACCCCAGATATATATATTTTTGTTTACCTCCCAGCTTCTGGAGGACAGTTTAAACCCTGACCATTCTAGCCAAACCTTGGACCAATGTAAAAATGCATCATTCATATTGCTTTGCTTTAGCTCAACAGGTTTGCAGTTACAAAATTTAAAGTTGCTAAACCCCGGACCCTGCATTCACTATCTGGTCTCCCACAGTAAACAGAACATGGAAATGCAATTTTAGTAAATATAAACTGCTAAATACCATTTCTCATCTGCAGTTAGAGCAGTCTTGTGACTTCTATCAGTCTGGCTGAGCACTGGTTAAAGCTTGTAGGTGTTTTCCTTCTCCCCTGACTGTCCTATGAGGCTGCATGACACTGGCCCTGTGCTGATCACATGCACCTCCCCCAAAAAAACTTCTAGCAATACACACTAAACTGAGCATGTGCAACTTGCCCCCAAGGCTCTGTTCTTATAGCAGATGGATTAACAGTAGAAGGGGTAGATCAGAGAAGACTGGATTAAACTACCTTTACACAATGCAGAGGATTAATACCCCCAAGGTTCCAGTGAGTATAGTGAGCATGCTTTACTGCTTATACAGACTGATTGTATTATGGGTTTTGTAACCCTTTAAGTGCATCAGACACAACAGTGTATGCCTGCATTCTGTAATATTTGGCAAACCTATTGGTAAAGGCAATGAGAAGCACCTTCTCTTGCTCCCACTGCTCTGTCCAGCCATATGGCTGCTAGCTGGGTATGGAGAAGCATGCATCCGCCCTGGTGACTGGCCTTTTGAAGCCTCATGGGGGGGGGGGGGGGAGTACTCTCCTCTGATCTGTATGCTCTTGTTACCCCAACATTTCCTATTCCAAATATGTGCCTTCTGTATTATGTACTTGTATGAAAGTCTCCTGTCATTTGTATTGCTTACTGTGTGAAACCCCTGGTGTTCCTGCCAGTCCCTCTGATTTCCTATTAAAACTGACCACACTAGACACAAGAGCATAGCATGGTCAGCTTAATAGCTTTGCTGGAACTTGGTCTGCTCTCCAATGATCATATTTGTCCCCCCCCACAGCACAGCCATTCACTGGGAAGAACAGTGCTTCAGTTTCTCCTCCCTGAGCTCCTTATATAGAATAGAACAGGGGATATGTAACTGCTTATAAAAAGGGGTATTTATAATTTTATCCGTAAACGCATATTTTGTCTTTCACTTCTATTTTAAACTTGGTTTGAAAGGTGAGGGTTTACATATAATTTAACTGCAGTGACTCGGTTACATATGAGTCTACGCCTGGTGGTGGGGAATCAAAGGGGAGAAGGCTTTTGCCCACATGGGTTCATAGTCTTTCACTTGTCACAGAAAACCAATCCATTGACTCAGTCTGGTGGTTTCTGTCACCTACCTGGGCAAGACCAATACAGTGTGACTTAAAAGTGACAAACTAGGTTTTATAAATAAATTCTACTCAGAATGCTCTCAGCTTCCTCTAAACTCCTTTTTGTTGCTGTGCTTGGACTCTGTCAGGGGGTGGCTACCTTTCTCCCTGGTCCCACTGTAGGTAAACCATGGCCACCTGCATAGTCATGTGGTGGACTATGGGATTTGTAGTATGCAGTTGTGTGCGCTCTATACAGCTAACACCCACTGCTCATTCTGAACAAAGTGAGGTGAGGAAAAGGAGAGGTTTGAGAGCTTCTGGAAGCAGAAAAACACTGTAAACCACCTCATGAGAAAACAGATTGGCCATCAAGTCAGGGATGCTCAACCTGTGACCCGCACCCTCAATCCAGGGAAGCGCATGCCTGGGGTTGGTAACCTGTTGATCAGTCTGGTCTTGTCTTCCCACCATCCCAGAGCATCAGATTGCAGTGAGCTGGGGCTGGCCATGGAGGGAGAGGAGCCGCATAAGCCAACGATTACTTTGTAGTACTAGCTCCTGTCCTAGGCAGTGATACCTACCAAGTGCACTCTTCCCTTTTTTTTATCCTTTCTAGCAGCATAAAAAGCCATGCCAGCCACAGGTGCAAGAGGTCTGTGTATTAAACACCCTACACTGGGCATAACTCCTGCAATGGGCATACTGGCAACTATAAAAGGGTCAACCACTATTGGGCTGCTTTTACACTGCTCCATGGGTGTAGCGAAGCACACCTGTGGGTTAGCTGCACTGAGCCATGGACTTCTATCATATCCTGTGGGCAGGGGCGGACTGACCATTTGGAAAATCCTGCACTGCCTGGGGTCAGGGGGCCCCATGAGATGCCCCTGGTTTTTTTTTTTTTTTTTTTTAAATAGGCTTTTTTGAGTTTGGGCAAGGACACGGGGCCCCATGATCCTCTATTGCCCGAGGGCCCCATGAGTTGTCAGTCTGCCCCTGCCTGTGGGTATGGTGCTCTTTCTGCAAGTTCACACAACTGCAAGATGTAATAGAACTCTATGGCAAAGCCCAGCTAACCCACAGGAAAGTCAGATGCTCTGAGCTGCACCCATGGTGTGGGTAAACTGCAGCACACCAGTGTGAAAGCAGGCTTATATGGGGCTCAGGGTAGTAAGGGCTCACTTAAATTTTTGGCGTGGGGGGTGCTAAAACCCTAAAGTTCATTGCTGCCCACAACCGGTTACCAAATCACTTAAGTGTCCCTTGCTGTTCAAAAGGTTGAGCACCCCTGCATTAAGCAGTGGATATGTATGGATTATTTTTGAATAGGTATTTGATGTGTACCATTTAATGTCAACCAAGGCTGCTCTCAAATGAAACTACATAACTTTGTAGCTGAAGTACAGCCAGCAAAGGTAGCTTGGGTAGACCCAGAAGCTGTTTTAAACTGGCCAGGTTTCCTTTTTTTGACTGAACAGGATTACCAGGGGAAAATAAAGGAGGTAAAAAAAACACTAATGCAGTGCCTACATCTAAAGACTGGATAACCAGCAATATTTAGTATGTTATGCTTGGCCATACTGAGAAGTACTTGGGTCGCCTTTACTTTCCTTCTAGAAATGCTAGTTGCCTGGCTACAAGATTTATACTGAAATTGGATGCAGCACATGCATGTGAACTGGTGTCAGAATTTTCTATCTGGACTTGTTCAGTCAATGAATTGAAAAGCAAAGAGCAAACTTAAGCTGGAGAACCATATCCTAAAAGTGGGGATGGCAATGGGCTCTCTATGAATATTTTTTTGCCACTGCATTATATTTGTCACAACAATGCACCCAATTTATTGGTAGACTACTATAGCTTTGTGAACAGAGCTTTCAATTTGGTAATTAAGTCACTCGGTCAATTAACATTTTTAGCTTGTTAAAATAAGAAACATATATAGGGTTTTGTCTAACACTTCAGCGCTTGTATCTCCTTCCTTGTGTCCAGGGAAGGCAACGTCAGCAGCAAGGCTGTCAGACCAACATGGGTTCCATTCAGCACCACAGTGACCAATGAAGAGAAACTCAACTTCTCCTTGCATCTGATGGCTGGTACGTATGTATTAGCAATGGGTGTTGGGCCTGAACCCATTCAGTTCTTGGTCAAAGTCTACATCTGACATTCTAACTTTGTCCACAGATCAATGGAGTGGCCCCAGAAATTCCACAGTCTACCATTTGGGTGATATAATCTACATAGAAGCCTCTGTGAACACTCAGAACCATATCAGTCTGATCCTGTTTATTGACAGCTGTGTGGCCACTATATCTCCAGATCCAAACTCCTTTCCTCGATATGAGATCATTAATGCCAATGGGTATGTTCATCAGGTGAAGGGAGGTAGGGTTTCTTGGATATTAATCTCTATGAATGTTCCTGTTTTTTTGTAGGTGCTTGGTGGATGGAAAAGAGGATTCTTCTTCAGCCTTCATCTCTTCAAGAATCAATCCAAACACATTGCAGTTCATGGTTGATGCTTTCCGATTTCTGAATGAGGACAAGTCTATGGTAAGGGCTATAGGAACACTAGTTTTTTATGAATTCTACTTGTACTACAATTTCAGAATTTATTGCTCTTCTGTTATAGATCTACATCACATGTGAGCTGAGAGTTACTGCAGCCTCCCAAGCCCCAGACTCAATGAACAAAGCCTGTTCCTACAGAAAATCTACAAGCAGGTGACCTTAAGACTTGTGTACAAAGATTTGGCTATCAAGGGCTTCATGAGTTGCTCCTCTAAGTCTTTATGTACTGCCTACCCCGCAGGAGCTGCTTGGTAATTTGGGTTCTGTGCATTGACTCAGAACACCCTCAGACCCTCTGACACACCTGTAAGAACTTATAAGAACACAAGTGTAGATCCTTTTAACTTGGGGCATATTGGTATCAGAAAATACACAAGACCATTTACCAATACTCAATGCATTGGTATGGGTTAGAATAAATGGTGATTTTAGCATAATTGACCACACAGAAGGTAGGATCAGACAGTCCACTAGACTGTAAAATCACTGGCAAGCTAACTTAGAATATTTCTGTACCTCATAAATTGGCAACGTCGGCAATGAACTGTGCATATGAGAATTTACTGCATTGTGACTAATACTAGAACTATAATTAACTCTAGGAGAGTCTAGGATATGGTGTAATGTTCCCTGAAAGGTACCTCCAGAGCAGAAGCATTAGGCAAAGACCTCTGTGGAACAGTTGTAAAGCATCAGTCTTTAGCCCCAACTCTTCAGCCGGCTTGTGTTGGGGCACTATTGTACTGCTGGTGCACATGAGAACAGTACCAGTCAAACCTGCAGGCAGCAATAAGCCAACTAGATGGCTGTATAGTTCTTTCCTAAAGGGCTCATTCTTTTGCAGCAGATAAATACCCCACCATAGCAGCAACTCACAAATCACAGCAATATTGCAGCTCCCAATTTTGTCACACACAAATTAGTCTGCTCTGCACCCAGAATCTGCACAGGCCACAATTACGCAGTGGTGGTGTACAATGGACTGTAATGTGGTCTCCCCATGGCAAGAGGAAGCTTTGTCCTGTACAGCCTAGGAAAATGCATCTTTTCCATCCTGGCTATCTGAACTTTGGAGATAGCCATTCAAAAGCTCAGGGCTACAATTCCCACAGTACATTGTTGCTTGACTCTTCCTGCTCAGCAACTCCTTCCTTTTGCTAAAATGTATGTTAACCAGCTCACCACCACAGAACAGTGGCTACAGAGTGCAGCTACAGTCAGTTTCACTCTTGCGCTCTGTCAAGAATCTGGCTACATTTAGCTGGGACTCTGACCAGTATAGCCTTGTATTGAGGATTAGAAAGTAACTCGCATGCATGTAGATCTCTATTGTTCCCAGGAGCATGTGCACTAACTTCAAAGTTGTATATTACAGCAAAACTCTACATTCTTGTAGATCATTAACTGGTTCCTGGTCTGTAGAGCATCCATGGTTTAAGGTATCCAGGGAGTCAAAGAATTGATTACCACTGTTGCACTGATCACCTCCCAACTGGCCAAACAGGATATCGCTTAGTGGTCATTTGGTAGTCCAACCATAGGAGCGCTCTGGTCAACCTGCCTAAACTTGCCCTCTACTCTGACTTATTTCCCTGGAGCTACCTGCTGTAAAATAGGCATGTTCCACCCAAGTCTTCCTATCCATCTTGGGATACTAGGATGTACAACATGCCTTCTCTTAAGGAAAGCTCTATGATCACAAAATGATCCATTGGGCTCCATTCACACCAATGCAACTTTTGGTCAGTCATGGCAAGTCGCAGCCCATTGTTTTCAATAGCACCAGTTCAGATCTATGCAACTTAGTCACAGCAACTTTGAAAATGTTCCTGCACTTTGATGCAACTGGAGTACCAGAGGGTGTAAAGGCACATCAGTCTAACTTCAAAGTCACACCAAAAATCCTGCAACTTTGGAATCAAACAAGTGCGAATGGAGCCATACAACTGAGAAATTGGCTGTTCCCATGCTTGTGAGGACTTTAAGAAGCACACCAGGCATGTCTGCTAGTGCTGTATTGCAGCAATAAGTACAAATCACCTAGCAACAATGATAAATCAGGAGATTCAACCCAACATCTAGAACTTTATTAAATGGATTAACAATTTTTCTACACTCGGTATTCAACGCTGTCCAGCACCTGTAGCTTAATGACAATAGAGACTGGGGGAACAGCCTACCATATCACTCACCTAGTGGGGCTGCTAGGTACTACTAGTGGTTTTCACTGAAAGGAGCAGACCAGTGACTTGTTTGTTTTAGAGTAGCATTTCCCGAGCTGAGAATTTTAATTGCCTCCTTCCCCCACAGGGGGGCTGTTGCCCCTAGGGGCAGCTGAGGTGAGGGAGATTAGTCTGGGACTTGGCAGGTGCTGAGTATTTGCCAAAGTATTCTATTTGCTGGACAGCATCTTTAAGTCCTAGGCTGGAGAAAAGGGGCTTTTTTCCCTCAGGGAGGATCTACCTGTGACTGCTGGGAGGGCAGATGGCTCATGAGTAAAGAGCTGGCTGTTGGACCTCACCCTATGGGATCTAGTCTGGGGAAGGTTTCTTCACTGAGAAGTGTCCAGTGGAATCTGGAAGGTGTGCAGCTGTCCTGGGACTTGAGTACTGTCCCTGAATAGTGATCTCTGGTGACTGTGCTTTTGGGATGTACTGTGTGCCAGAGGTAGATTTGGACTGAGATGGCTCTCATAGGGTGTCAGAGTACTGCTCACTTCCCTGTGCTCACTGCAGAATCCATGTACCTCTAATCTTGTGGGTGATCTGGTTATATTCTCAGCAGCCCCTCATGGGTAGTGCTACACTACAAAACCTAAAAATCTAGCAAGGCCATCTATTGGGGAAAATGTGGTGAGATGTTGGCAGGTTTTGGTAAATGCTACATGACAATGTTTCAAGGCTTAATCGTTGCAGACTGCCTTTTCTTGCAATAACTGTCACTCTTGCGCCTAGCTGGTCTGCTTTGGAAGGTTCCAATGACATCTGCCAGTGCTGTGATACAGGAACCTGCAGTGCCTCTTCTGGTCCACGCTGGTTTGGGGGATCATCTGGAAGAGAGAGGGGACACTGGAAAAGAGACATTGGTGAGTTCAAGTGAAGCCTCTGAATCTGTATAGGAAGCTTCATAATTTTGGGTTTGCTTTCAGCTGTCAATGACTTGACAATTCATTTCCTAAGCAAACATCCAGTGAAGTCAGGATGCCTGACACATACTGATATTTGGAGATGGAGAATTTGGCATTCTGGAGATTGCCCAATCATACAAATCTACAATGGCATCTCCTGACGGGTTCCTGTCAAGTGCTTTTGATAGAAAAAGTTGCTGTGTAGTCATGCAACAAGTGAAATGTATCATCTTATATGTACATTGTTGTAGGAGAGCACAGAAGCCTCCATAGCTTTCAGTCTCCTGGCCCCTTGAGGACAAATGGGGATAAAATCTCTCCAGTTTAGGGTCCTTTCACACAGGCACAATCCGTTCACTCACTGTTTTTCAAAAGAAAAATGGATTAAGTTTTCATACATTTACATCAGTCAGTGGGGAATTCTCTGCTCACAGGAGCATGTAAACAGGGGGGGGAGTGTGAACAGAGGCTCTCACTTTACATTGCTGGTTCTCCCTGCTTCTAAAATAAAAGGGTGGGGTCATCCTGTGACATCACCTGGGGACTCGGCCACTTTGTTTACATTAGCACTGGAAGAAGTGGAGCTGTCCTTTGGCCCTGCTGCTAAAGTAAACAAAGGCTGTCACCAGGCAACCCCACCCCTTTGTTTATATTAGCAGCAGGGCCAAATGACAGCACCACTTCCCCATGCTAATTTTGGAGCTAACAATTGATAGAGCCTCTGTGTACACACTCCCCACGCTCTGAAAACACTGCCCCTATCTGTATGTACTCCACCCTCCATGAATACTGCCCCTTCTCCTGTGCACACTGCCCCCTTTGTTTACATTTTCCTGTCATTGGGGGAATTCCCCCCCCCCCCCCCCCCCCCCCCCCCCCCCCCCCCCCCCCCCCCCCCCCCGACAACACAGAAGTCTCCTAACAAATACAAAAATGGACCATTTCATCTGTTTGCATCCCTTTTTTATGTCGGGTGTCAAACTGGTGGCCCTCCAGCTTTGCCAAATTACAAGTCCCATGAGGCATTTGACAGTTACAAGCATGACTCCCAAAGGTAGAGGTATGATGGGACTTGTGGCCCTCCAGCTGTTAAACTAAAAGTCCCATCATACCTCTACCAGTGGTGTATTTTGGTTTTGTGCTACCCTAGGCAAGACTAAAATCGGACACCCCCTCCGCATCTAAATTTGTCCCACCTTTATATCTGCAAACTCCTCTCCTTCCTCTTTAGGCTCCACCTCTTGCTATTAGAGCTCCACCCACTGACAACGATGGGGCGCTATTCCTCCCACTGACACCAATGATGATGTCCCGTCAGTGTGTGAGGAATCGTGCCCCATCATTGGTATCGGGGATGCCTGGAGGAATAGTGCCCCTTCATTGGTGTCAGTGACACCAATGAAGGGGCACTATTCCTCACACACTGACACTGATGGGGCATTATTACTCCCACTGACACAAATTATACTTGCATCGCTGTGCTGACCCCTGCTCCAGCCCGGCCTCCCTCCTTCAGGCACACACTTACCCATCAGCAGTCTTCCTTCTCGAGCCACTCTCCTCCTCTTCACCGGCTCCAGCTGCTCACTCATCTTCAATCTTTGCGCAGCCGCTCAGCTCCTCTCCATGCTCTGCCTCCTTGCCTGTGATTGGCCGCCTGTGTGCCTTTTCTGAGCTACAGATCTGGTGGGGGCAATCACCGGCGGAGGCAGAGCTTGCAGAGGGAGGGACAGGCTGCCCAGTGATCCTAGGGGTGTGGCCAGATTAGAGGGGCGGTTTTTTGTCCCACCCACATCGCGATAAAGATCCAGGAAGATTAAGACACCGGACGGACACCATCTGCACTCCTCCAGCAGCACCTTGTGGACCGGACCGACATCGGACATAGTCAGGTAAGACAGCAGCCCCTGTCCCTTTCCCACGGAAGTCTCCCTTCTGTGGGAAAGGGGGGGTGGCACTATCGCTGTGCCACCCTAGACAAATGCCTTGTTTGCCTTGTGGCAAATACACCCCTGACCTCTACCTTTGGGAGTCATGCTTGTAACCGTTAATCTTGCAATGCCTCATGGGACTTGTAGGTTTTTTAGGTTTTGACCTCGCATATATGGCTTGGTAAAACTTTCAATTTAAATGCAATCAGGCATTACATGGTTGAAAGTAATCCTAAAGGGAATTGAACAAGAGATTTGTATAATGTATGGCCAGCCTTAGTTTGTCTATAAGAGCATCCTTTTATTGATCAGGTGAAGGCTTCAACACAATCGCCAGATATGACTGATATGCTTGATTCTCAGTTGTGTTTATTCTTCTACTTTGGTATCATCACTGGAGATTTTTTGGAATGCTATTTTCCTGCCACAGATGTGAAATGTAATGGGGTGGTTTTCCCTACAGTGAGCAGGCATGCATGGTCGTGATCTGTGACACCATCGGCTCTATGGAAATGAATGCGTATGTTCTAAACCAGTGGTTCTCAACCTGGGGGTCCAACGACCCTTTCACAGTGGTCACCTAAGACCATCGGAAAACACATATTTCCAATGTGTAGAAAGCAGCAGTATTGGAGGTAAAAACGACACTTCATGAATTATAATTACTGGGTAAATTTTATTGTTGGGGGTCACCACAACATGAACTGTATTAAAGGGTCGCGGCATTAGGAAGGTTGAGAACCACTAGTCTAAACAGACCTCAAGTGTGACCTACCCGGCAACAAGCTACTTATCTTTACTATAATATAGTGCCACAAAAATGAATAATGCAAACCAAAGTGCAGCTATCGGTCCAATACCTGAAGAAAAAATGTTTACTCCTGCCCTTGACTTCAGTGACTGTAACCATACATAGCCTATGGAATGCACACCTTGCTGCCCTCCACAGACCAGGGGAATCCAAATTAACTGCATGCAAAAAGACAGAGGGTGCACATGCCTAGTGCATTACCTTTTTAAAAATTTGGTTTGTCTAAAATGCGCTATACTCCCAAAAGAAAAGTCAAGGCACATCAGAAATGCAGCAAGGTCCAATCTCCCTGGAAGGTGTCTGGTCAGGGATTATAGAACTCCAAATGGCTGACTCATTTCATGGTGGTGCCTCTTCCTCAGAGCCAACAGTCTCAGTCATATATCCCCCCGGGTAGAAGTCTGTTATGCCAGCAACAGTGCACCACGTTGTACTCCAATATTCCTATCTTCCCATCAAGATCTCCTTAGCCAGAATGTGCTATATGCCATGCAATCTGTGATCTTCCAATGTGCTGATCCAAATCTCTAAAAGAAGAACTAAGTATTTTATACACATTGCAATGTGTACCACTCTTCCCTAAATACTTACCCTCTAAGGGTGAAAATGTACATTTCACTCTTAAACTGAATCAAATCCACATGAATATCCATCCTTCATCCACCATATGTGTGCAAAGCCAAAAACATGCTCCATCCCTTCGCCTTCAGTCATGCACCTTACCCTGCATGTCTTGTGAATAGCCTTTTTGCAATACAGTATCAACATGCCCAATCGCCTCCTCACTTCATAAATTCTCAGTAATCATGAAAGATACATGCTCCCATAGTGCAAATCAAATTTCACTGCTTAAGGACCACCCTATAGCAGACATACTGAAACAGGGTGGCACCTGTGTGCAGAATCGTGTGTGTGTGTGTGTTTGCATTTATGGGTAGGGGTGTGCTTAAGCCCTACCTGCACCACCGTTCACAGCCATGGGTGTCAATCACCAGGTCCCAGCCAGTAATTACCCACTGGTGATTGCTGAGCATCTCCAACAGGGAGGTAGATTGTTTTGTTTAAAAATCTACTCCCTGTTGGCTCTAGCACAGTACAGCCATCCCCCCCTAGTAAAACACTCCCAGCACACAGTTAACCCTTTGATCACCCCTCACATTAACTTCTTCCTTCCCAGTGCCATTAGTACAGTCAGTGCTTTTTTTGCCACTGATCCCTGTATTGGTGTTGCTGGGGTTTCAGTGACAGTTTTCCCGCCCCCAGTGTCAGTCTGCCGCAGTCCCACTAAAAGTTGCTGATCGCCATTTGCTAGTAGAGAAGAGAGAATCCCAGTATCTATACCACCATTTGTAAACTTTCACATAAACCAATTTAATTTACAAGTATTGGGATTTTTATTTATCCAACCTTGTTGGGTTGTAAAAGGATGTTTTAGGAATTAAGAACATGGGGTTATAGGACAGTAGGTTAGTGGTGCATTCAGATGTCTTTCCAAGAAGTAAGATGGAGGCCATGGGATGTGGGCAGGATGGTGCAGTCTGATGCCTAATGTCAATTCAATGATGAAATGCGTCATACGGATGTGACGTCAGATGCAAGTGCTGCAGTGACCATTTTGGAAATTGGTAGAATCAAGCTGCTTGTATTTCAAACACATGTAAGCACATTTTTACATTTTTATTTTAAGCAATATTGCACTATGGGAGCATGTTTCTTTCATGTTCACTAAATTTGTGGTGAGGAGGCAATTGGGCATGTTGTTGATACTTGATTGCAAAAAGGCTATTCATAAGACATGCAGGGTAAGGTGCATGACTGAAGGCAAAGGATCTAGCACATTGTTTTTGGCTTTGCACACATGTGGTGGATGAAGGATGGATTTTTATGTGGATTTGATTCAGTTTAAGAGTGAAATGAACATTTTCACCCTTAGAGGGTAAGAGTATTTAGGGAAGAGTGGTACACATTCCTTTATTGCACATGCAATTTTCATGTAAGAAATACTACTTGTCTTTACTGATCCTTAAACCCAATGTTCTTGCAGGTCATACTTCAGAAGAACGTGGCCTGGTCACACTTGGTCCTCTCCTGGTGATTGAACCTCAGGATCAGTCAGCTCTGGAACAGTCTGCTCCAAGAACAGGTCATGGTCATCCTTCCAAGATATCTCAGGAGCCCGGGCCTACACAACTGTGGATGTTGGTGACCGTAGCTTCCGTCAGTCTAGTTC